CCTTAAGGAATGACAGATGAAAATATCTTTCCCATGATATAACTGTTATTGCCGGGAAGTGGCATTAATTGTGATTGCTTATCTATTAATTTATTATAATTCTTTTTTCACCTCCAGGCTTTTACCTACACATGACATGTACCAGGGGCTCAGCTGGGGCTGATTAACGCGGGGTTATCTGGGAATGGCTCAAAGCTGGCTGGAACAGATAATGGCAGCTGGGGTAATTAAAATGTCTTCTGCGTGGGAGAAGCGAGTTTGGAGAATTTTTTTTAGAGGCAAAGAAACTGGTGACATGGGTTTCCTAAAGGGAAGGAGGTAAATGCCAAATGCCACTGCCCTCCCAAGTACAGCCACGACTGACCAATGGGCACAAAGAGGCAGAATCACGAGGTAGACTCGTAAGCCAATGGGGCTGGAAGGAGGATCGTGGAGCTGGAGCCGGAAGCTGGATATGCGGACCCAGGAGACATAGCTGATGCCCTGGCACGCGGGAAGCTGCCGGGAGATGCCATGGTACCACCCACCTCCCCACTACTGCCCGGCAACACACACACATATTCCACTACAGAAATGTTCGTCTCACAGGGACTGTGCCTCCCTGGAAGGATCGGTTCTCCCTGACCCTCAGAGAGGCGTGGGGAGGAAGGGCTATGGGCTGGAACAGAAGTCAGGAGTCAAGGCTTCTATCACGGATCTGCTGTGAGGCTCTGGGCAGTTCACTTGACCTTTTTGGTCCGAGGTTTCCCCATCAATCAACAGGGAGCACAAACTCTGCCCTGTGAAGGGGAAAATCAGAAATGTGGAGAAAGGGCTTTGGAACCTGTGAAGTGTGGGCCCGGCTGGGATTTGTGGAGGCTTCGTTCTCCCCCATCAGTGTCAATCATGTGATGCCAGGACCATCACGGCCTGGGGAATTGGAGCTGGATCCGGCCAGAGGAAGCCGGGCAACACTGCACGCAGGCTCTCAGCACCAGCTTCAGCAGAGGGCTTTGGACAAGCTGGACAGCTCCCAGCTGGTCCAAATCCTTGCTCTGTCCCTTTCTTATGGAGTGACCTCTTTGAGCCTCTTTGAACTGGGAAAGTCGTATCTCCCCTTGGAGAGTTGATCTGAGTCTTGGTGAGATGGGGTATGCTGAGCACACAAAAAACATCAGCAGGAGTTATTTAATTAATCGATTTAACTCTTACGCAGTACTAAAATGCCAGGCACTCTCCTCAGTGCTCTACTGATGTCAACATCCTTAATGCTCAGCATAACAATCCTATGAGGCAATACTGTTGTCGTGGCCCATATGGGGGATGAGGCACCGTGAGGCGAAGTAACTTGCCCGAGGAAGTAGAAGAATCTCTATTCTAACTCAGGCAGACCAGCACCAGAGTCTGCGGTCTTCACTCACTGTTGCTGTGATGAGGATGTTAACTTCACTGATCACTTTCGCCTTTGTATTGTATTCATTTATTCACTCAGGCATTGATGAGCATCTACTGTATTCTAGGCACTATTTGGGCACTAGAGATAGAGATGAACTGGGCATGGTCCTTGATCCTTAGACGCATGAAGGAAGCCCACCAGCTGGTGAGCTTTGTGTTGGATGTATCTCTATACACCTCCTCCCATCCAAGTGACTAGCTTGGTACCTGGGACCTTGAGGGCATATGCATGTGGCTGCTGGTTAAGTAAATGAATGACAGAACTAACGAATGTAGAAGTAGGGAAAGTGTATACTCTCTGGGGCTGGGATCCTGCTCCAGGTTGCTAGGATACTGCCCTGCGCCTCCCTCCAAGGCTTCCATCCTTAACCCCACGCCGGCAATGGCATTGATGTGGAAGGCACTGAGGTCACTGAAGTGGTGCTGTCTCCAGAGTCTTGCCCAGAAGATCAGGTCAAGCCACAGGGCTGAGGGGCCAAAGCTTCGGCTCTCTGGGGGGACATCCCATCTGGCCTTGGAATGAAGGGGTGAGCCAGATGGAGATGCTTTTAATTGACTGTCTGGAGCTAGGACTGGGAGGGAGCAAGGCCCAGAGAGGGATTCGCCTCAGGCCCTATGTGGAGGGGGCAATTCCTTGTGTGAGTGAATGAGATGTGTGGATCTTGTTCCTGCCGCTTCTACAGGGACCCCGCCGCCAATGCCCCAAGCCCTTCCACTTGGTGGCGCGTCTTAGATTCTGTGAGTCCACTGTACTCGGCCTCCCACTGCCGGACCTCAGTGAGTGACCAAGGAGTGGTCACCTGCCCCAAGGAGGGTTTCTACAATCTGGCTGATGCTAGCCCCTACCCTGAGACACCTGAGAAATGTGGAGTGGCCTTTATTTGTTTGTCATCAGGCCTGGAAGTCAGTCAGCGGGGACAGGGATGCTAAACATTCCAGAGTTGGCGGGACATTCTGGAATGATGAACTGTCTAGCCCCAGGTGCTGTACAGTGCCCCATTGAGAGGTGGTGACTGGTGCTTGGCCAGTCAGCATTTTGACCTGGGGAAAGTCAATAATACTCTAGAAAGACGTGGTGAGATGTGGCAGAGGTGGAACAGATGGTCAGTTTGGATGTGATGATCCCAGGGCAGCTACGAGGAGCTGAAGTTTCCAGGGAACGGGGACTGCGAGGAAGGAGCAGAGGCCAAGAGCAGGGGAGGGAGCAACGGGCAGAGAGAGGGAACGGAAGAGCCCGGCTGAGGCTCGGGGCAGAACCATAACCCCCATGATGTCCAGAGTCGCTCTGGATCAGAAGCACCCTCACGTCTGCTCCTGTGGCCTGGTGGTTCATTCCTGAGCCCCTAATGACTTAAGGTCACTGAGTGAATTCTGCTCCTTAAAACCAAGAGGCCAAAGGAGGGATCTGAGGCTTGGCAGCATCATGACTACTTACTCCCATTTTAAAGTCAAGGGAACTGAGGCTCAGGAAGGTTAAGCAACCTGCCCACACACACGGCCAAGAGGTGGTGAAGCAGGGACTTTCATCCTTATCTGTGCCTCCAAGGTCTGCTCTCCTGTCACCACACCGGAAAGTAATGTGGAGGGTGGATGGGTCGGGCCTGCAGGGGGACCGCAGCAGTCCTGGGAGGTCTGCCTGCCCCTCCCTTGTATCCTCCTGTCGTGGACTCCAGGGCTCTGCCACAGCAACTCAGAGCGGCGAGGACTCAGGGAGATGAGCCAGCTGGATAGAAGTGGCTGTTTGGGACCCCTAAGGGCCCAGAGGTTGGTCTCAGCGCCCTAGGAGCCCAGGGTGGGATGGACAGGGCTGCCATGCTGGAGACAGAGCCTTGGGTGCCTGGAATGTGCCCTTCCTTCCCTACCTTGCTGCTCTGCCTTGCTTCTAGATCCAAATGGAGGTGGAATATTGGGGATCTGATGGCCTCATCCTCTAGCCATTAGGCTTTTCCAAGGGAGAAGTCAGCTTGGGTGGGTAGAAATTCAGAAGGGACTCAGGGGAGAAGTGCCTGGTCTCAGTCACCAGCTGCCAGGACCCCTTTCTTCCACCATGTTTCCTGACAGGTCCCCAGGTCTGAGCTCTGGATCAGGAGAGTGGGCAGGGAGGCCCCTGAGCTCTGCCCTGGGCCCAGGCTCTAGTGGGTGGGGGGTGCAGAGAGGGTAATCAGGAGTGGTGGCTGGTAAATGCTTAGTAACCAGCTCTTCGGGGAGGGAGGGTAAAATCTCTTACTTGTAGCATTTGCCAACTTCTATGGTATAAATACTCCCACCGTGGCTGATTTTAAGCTACCTACAAGATGTCATTGAATGTGGAGTTAGGAAGAGATGAACACAACTGGCTCTCGCAATCAACCAAATCAAGCCAGTTTCCACACTTCCCTGGAGAGCTCACCTGCCTCTTGGCCTTTGCTTGTGCTGTTCCCTCTATGTGGAATACCCTTCCTCTTTCTCCTTGGTGAACTCCTATTGATCCTTCAAAATGCAATTCAAGCATCTTCTTTCTTGTAAAGGCTGCCAGAAATTTTCGACCTTTGCATAGCCCTGCAGCACCTGGCGTCTCCTTCCACTGTGCCCTGTGGCCACCTGCCCAGGTCTGTGATGGCACAAGCCTGCCGAATGAGCTAGATACAGAGATGCAGACTGGATAGGCTGGGAGCTCCTTGAGGGCCAGTCATCTTAAGATCCTCCACTGAGCACAGGCGCTGGGTGAGGAATGTTAACTGGGTGCTGGATGAGTGAAGGAACACAGGTAGAGCCTGCAGGGCTGCAGCGGCAAGTCTGATGCAGATTTCAGGAGCTCATTTCAACCGCAGGATGGTTAGCGATGCCGTTACTCGCCCCAGACCTGGGCTGGGTGGAAGCGTCCACCTGGGGCCCCAGTGATGTCTGAGGGCATCTGGCTCCAAGGCAGGGTGGCTGGGGGTGGGTGACCCTTTGGCTCAAGGATCTCTTTATTCTGCTGATCTCAGACCACAGCTAATTATCCTAATGGGTTTAAATGGCCCTAAATGTTCTCAGGGTTTGGACAGGACCCATCTGGAACCCGAGGTGGGCTGGCCCGGCTGGCGGTGAGCGGGCAGACTTCAGTGTGCATGCCGCAGGAATTCAAAGCAGCATCTCCTGCTGCTGTGTGAGGCCTGAGACCTGTGTGGGGACACGTGGGCCAGGGCCGAGGGTCATCGCCATCCTAACGGTGCTTCACACAAGCCAGGCACAGCTCTTAGCACTTGACGTCATGGACTCATTTGGTTCTCACAACGCTAGGAGGTCGGAGCCACGATCGTGCCCCTTTTGCTGAGGAAGGTTAGATGACCTTCACAAGGTCTCCCGGCCAGCAAGCAGAGGGGCCTGTGTTCACACCGGCAGGTTCTAGAGTCCCTGCACTTAGTGGCAACGTGATGTCACCCGTCCAAGTTGGCGGGCCACAAAGATAAATCTGTGGCCTGGCCTGGGGCCACGCCTACAGCTGTAGGAAGCGAGTCCAGCCTGCAGCAACTGTCCCCACCAAGGCTGACCGTGTTCCAAAGGAGCCCCACCCCGACCCCTGCCAGGACCCAGAGGTACGTTACCAGAGTAGTGAAGATGAAGTGGTAGTACTCGGTCATCATACCCATGGCCATGGCCTGCGGGAAAGCAGAGCGTCAGCACCCTGCAGGGGACACCCGAGGAGCCCTTCCCCCTCCCCCCTCCACTCCAGGGTTGGGGGGCACAGTGTGAGGACCGGGGACAAGGAGAGGCTGGCAAAGGGTGGGGAGGCTGGCCTCTAAGAATGGGACGTCCTCTGAGACCACCTCCCGACAGTGACAGTGACTGGCAGACAACAGTGCATTTCACCCCGGCGTGCGCAGGAAAACCAATTGCAACACATTAAAATGCAGAATCTTGGGCCACTCTCTCCAAAGATTCCAAATTCCACGGGGCCCACATATCTGCCTTTTTAGTAAGCATCTCTGGGACTGCCACACTTGGAGAAATGCTGATGAAATCCGTCCAACACTGCCTTCTCAAGTGCCCTGACTCCGCTCAGCTGAACTCACAGTCCTGGCTTCAGACAGAGTCTGTGGGAGTCCGGCCCCCAGCAGCCCAGCCAGGCCCAAAGAAGGGGTCTGTCCTCAGTCTGAGGCCCCCCCGGCAGGGCTGAGACTTCCCTGCTTCCCGGCTCCTGGCTGACCGCACAGCAGGGCCATGTGGCTGCTGTGAATTATTATTACATACCATCACGAAATCTACATTATATATTGTGTGTTTTATTAGAAGTCTGCAATCTGTAATAGTAATGACCATGATGCATTTTCTACAGAGTTCTTCAGAATGCGGGCCCACAAAGTGCTCAGAGGGGAAATGTCACTGGGTCAAGCGCACTTTGAAAATGCCTCATATTCCTTCCCATCTCGGAGGCTCACAACCCGTATCCTCAGGTTAAAGGCTCGAGAAGCTCTCTGTACACAGACACGCTCACCTTCGCTTAGCTCAGTGTTATGCTAAGTGCAGAATATTCATTTTTAATTCTAGAAGTTTTCAGTCAGTAAACTGGGGAGTAAATGCTGACTTCCCGGCTGGATGGACCGCAGGTGCATTCCTTTCTTCTTGAGCCTCAGTTTCCTCACCTGTAAACTGAGCGTGATCATCGTCCCCACGTCCCCTGGTGGCGGTAAATGAGGAGCCGTGTGTACCCGGCACGGAGGAACTCCTCAGTAGGCCCAAGCTGGGGTTGTCTTTATTATCCTGTTGTGCATGCCCAGAAGAGGAGGGATGCACTGGGCCCAGCTGGCCGGGAGAGCGAGGGCTGAGGGACTTCTGGGGAGCGTGTCTCCTCCATGGCGACTTTAAAGAAGTATCACATCCACTGCAAACTGAGCGCTGGGATAAACTTTGCCCCATCTCACCGATTCCTCCAGAACCATAAGAGATAGGCATCATTCACAGTATCTACACGCGAGGGGATGACTCCGCGGCCACTTGCTCTAGGGTGCACAACACCCAAGGGCAGGAGCAGGGTTCAAGCTCTCAAATGAGCTTTCGAGCTACTGTGTGAAGGTGCCTAGAGTGGGGCTTCCTCTGGGGGAAGACAGAGGCTGCCATTCGGCTTGGGTACCCCTCGCAGGGTGGGCCTTGAATACATCCCTGCTCCTGCATCCCTGTGTCCCCTCCCTGCCACCTACATCTCCCGGGGTCCTGTGTCAGGGCTGCAAAGAATGCCTCCTCCAATCAGCAGGGACGCTTTCTGGGACCATGTAATTGTCTTTTACTCAAAGCACTGGCTCGAATCAGAGTGGGTTTGGTTTCAGGTGTGGCACCCTCGGAGGGGGCTGTGAGGGATTTCGCCGTTCATCCCTTGGGTGGCTGGCAGAGCTCGCTCGGGTTCCCAGCACGCCAGGCTGGGCTGTGTCGGGAACGGAGGCCCGGCCAGGACTGAGAGCCATTCTCCTCCCCCACTGTCGCTGCAGAGCTGAGCAGATGGTGCGTGGAGCCTTGATAAACCTCCTAGTGACACCGAGTGCTGCGGGCTGAGGGATTAGTGGCTGGAAGAGGCAGTGAGGTGCTCTGGGGGCTGTTCCTGAGACCCTCAGGTCTCTCTGTGTTCCCCGAAGTGTTCTGTTCCCTCCTGGCAGCCCCTGCCTCCCACGTGCCCTGAGGTGGCATGGAAACCAGCATCTGCTCAGCACCTTCCAGGCGCCAGGCCTGGCTGAGGCGGCTCAGTCATCACCTCATCTCATCCTCACACCAACTCAGAGTATCAAGACTTCTATGTCCATTTTGCTGCTGGTGAAACTGAGGCTCACAAAGTGACCACCCAAGGTCATGCGGCCAGAGAGAGGCATCCTACGGGTCAAACTTGGATCTCGCTGACCTCATGCCTGTATTTGGGAAGGAACAGATGGGAGAGGTGGAAGGAGGATCCCAACTGCCCCTCCCGCTGGCCAGCGCTCACGCACCTGCTTGAGGATCTGGGCGGCCATGATGTGGCTGCAGTCAAAGATAATGCGGAATTCCCGGCCTCGCTTCATCTCCTTGAGCAGCGGGCGCGAATCGTCAGAGTCAAGGGGGAGCTGGCGGATCTTCAGGCGGATGTTGTATCTCGATGGGGCCATGATGAGCTCCTGCAGCCGGATGAGCCCTGAGAGGCCCCAGGGTGCAAAAGACACATGTGTACATGTATACACAGCTGCAGGCGTCCACAGACTCGTGTGCATGCACACACCTGTGGCCACAGGCTTGCAGACACATGTGGACACCAACACGTGGCCCCCGGAGGTAGGTGCATGGACACAGCCATGTGTGTGCAGACACAGGCACCAGCACACCAGGGCATGGACACACGCACCCAGCTGTGCACGCCAGCACATGCACACAGACACATATAAACCCGTGCTTACATCCACGTGCATGTGGATATAGACAGGACATACACCTGGGTTGATAAACACATGTTCACGCATGTAGATAAAGGTGTGTGCACACACAGACACGTGTACACACCTGCAGATTCAAAAGCAGGCACAGATAGCAAATCCCCACTGACTACACCTACCTGCTCCTCTCTAACCCTCTGGGTATAGAGACTTACGGAACCTGAACCAGGGGCACTGCCTCCTCCTCCTTCCTGCCTTCCAGCAACAGTATGAGGCATGGGACATAACCTTCCTAAACATCCCTAGCAACCTGCTTCCAGGATACAGCCCCAGACTCTGCTGTACCAACTGCTGGACTGGGCAGGGCCAGCTGGTATTCATACCCAGTCCCCCATCCCACCCCCAAGGGCAAGCTGCCTCCGTAAAGCTTACCCATTCTTCCAGGCTCAATGCAGCCATCTCCTCCATGAAGCCTACCCCTACTGCTCTGCCCGACAAGATGTCCCCACCCTACTCCCAGCCCTCCTTCCCAACTCCATGGCCTCCTCCTTCAGCACCAGCCCCCTCTGGCCTCATCGCACTCTCCTCGTCCTGTCCTAGGCTCCTGAACATCAGAGGCTGGGTCTCCACTTCCCCTAGCACAGGGCCTGGTACAAATTTCCATAATTGGCTTGACTACTGTTTTTTCCTCCCCACGCTGAAAAATCCATCGTCCACCTTGGCATTTTGCAAAACCTTAATCTGGGGACTTCCAGGGAAAACTGAATGTCACTTCCTGGAGACAAATGGCTTGCTTAGGTCTAATTAAGTTCATTTCCGTCTCCATTTCAAGGTTCGTTCTTGCTGACTCCTCTCTGCTTAGCCTGGAAGTGAGCCTGCTTGCTGTTCTCTGCAGCCCCACCCCACCGCAGGGAGGGCTGGGGCAGCACGGGGCCAGGGCCCCAAGCAGGCCATCCCCTCCCACCTGCTGGGCTCCTTGCCCACACTCAGGGCTCAGTGTCTCTGCATCCTGGCTGCACTGTCCACTCAGCCATGCTCCATTTCCCCACTAATAGCGCTCTGGTGTTCCTTCAGGGAACAACTCCTCCCCCATGCTCAGTCTATGTGACTCAGGAGGGATCTGTCCCCACTCCAGGGCCATGGAATGTGGTCCTAGCCTGGTAATCAGCATACACATTCCTCCAGGCATTGGTATGGCCTTAGAGATGGATGTCTGACACCAGCTGGTCCTATCAGATGACCCCCAGGAACTGTGCCAGAGCCACTGGGAAGAGGTACCTCCCTTTCCATTTAACTCCAAATGGGGAGGAAGTAAGTCTAGGGGTCACCACATAGAACCTGAGAAGGATTCCAACAGGGTGGAAGTCAAGACACAGAGAAAATAAGCCCTAATGATACTCATAAAAGCCTCTGAAGCTGAAATTACTCCTGAACTTTCCAACAAATGAAACCCACGCACCTCCCCCGCTTTGTTGCTTCAGCTAGTTTGTGATGGATCGAAGTTTGGAATCAGCTCTTGCAGTGGCCTCTGTCTGGACAGAGTCCCTCCACACAGGCAGCCCACTTCGGGAGCCTTCCAACAGAGAGTCTGGGTTTCCAAGTCATTTCTGGTACATACACCTGGGTCTGTTCGGCCTCTCATTCCCATTTCCAAGAGCTGGACAGCAGGAAAGCAATCTGATGGGCATCCAACATTCCACTCTGCTGGGTAGGACAGAGATATATCTCTGTAGCCCAAGCCTCCCAAAACCTCCCCCAGCAAACTTTGCCATCAGGAGCCCTCAGCCGCCTGGAGGTCTCAGATCCAGGTGCATGGGCTGGGAGACGGCTCTGGAGTCCTGGAGCAGTCTGGATCAAACAGGGGCCCCAGTGCCTTCTAAAACCAGACTTGACCTGGGGGCAGGGGACAGGAAGAGGCTATCAGATGACCTTAGCAGAGGAGGAAGGGGCCACAAGCCCCCCAACAAACACACAGCCTTATCCTCCCTCCTTAACTAATTCCAGTTCTTAGTTTGTCTGAATGATGCTGCCCGCTCACACCTGTCACCCTACAAGGCCCTGAGTGCACACTCCACTCTCACTCACTCAGTTTTCAGACCCAGGACATGAGGACAGGGACAGCCTGGATGCTGGAGCAGAGGCCACCAGAGCTTTCTTGTCAGCCAAGTTCACTGCCCCGTGTAGTGCACAGTGACCCACATTCTCTAGCAGCAAATGTCAGACCTCCTTCCCATCAGTGTACTCCCGAAGGAGACCAGGGGCTCCTCTTGGCCCATCCCAGCAGAGGACTAGGCTCTTTGTTTGCCTGAGATGAGCTCTCCTTTCTGGCTGCTTCCCTAATCAATCTCTCTCAAAATATCTGCAGTGAATCACGGTTGTTGAAGTCATGCTTTTCACTTACAAAGCACTCCTGCATTCATTACCCTATTTAACCATCTCCCTGTCCTCGAAGGCATACAGAGTAGGGGCTTTTGTTCCAATGTGACAGATCGAGAAACTGAGGCCCATGGAGGCTAAGTGACCCTCCCAAGGTTTAGCAGCAGGCTAGCAAAGTGATCAAAATTCAAGACCTAATCTTTCTGGCTCCTGGGCTGGGGTCTTTGTCTCCAACCAAGCTTTTTCTAAGCCCCTTCCCTTCACTCTTGATAGGAGTTTGTCTTTGTGTGCAGATTAGTTTCGGAAGGTGACCACGTGGCAAGGCTCACAGGGCAAACACTGCTGGTTCCTGTATGATCATTCTTGATATTCTGTAACTGATGATCTGGCCTCCTGAAATCATGGGCCAAACTCATGACCAAAGTCGTTTCTACCCTATGATCCCTGTGTTTCCCTGGGCACTCAGTTAGCAGGCTGGTTCCTGCTGTAATGCTTTCTACTTCGTGGATTTGATGACCCACAAGCTGTCCCGGCCCCTTGAAATATTCTGATTCTGGGAGCATACTTCTTACTACCCACTATTCTTCATCGACATTATATTATTGTTTGAGTGAATCCAGCTCTGAATTCCGACTACCGAGTCTCTTCTTGACCAAACCAGCTCCATCATTGACTTCCCTATGTTTTTAAGTGTTTGTTGAACTGAATTGAATTGAATCTCCAGTTGAATTAAACTATAATTAAATCCTACAGGAAAGAGGGTGCTGGGCACTGGAAAGGGGCAAGAAATGAAGATGTTGTCCCATCTTCTTTTGAGAATTTAATCCTATCACAGGGGAGTGAGTGCCCAGCCAGAGGTCACTGGTCATCAGAGCTAACATCAGAGCTAACAAGTGACATGTCCATACAGTCAAAGCTGGACATCCTTGGGAAGAGGAGGCTCCAGGCCTTGGCATCCACTCTGCCTAGTCTCACTGGTACAGCATCCACCTCACGCCACAGCATCTCTTTCTCTGCAAAGCCTCTCTCTCTCCTCTCACCCAGCCTGGAGGCCCCAGTACTGCCGGGCAGTGGTTTCTGCCAGTGTCTGTTCTGACCACTCTGTGTCCAGGACACCCCCGTATATTTTCAGTATCACCTGTCACATCCAGTTCTTCTCTCCCATTCTGGCCCCAAGCTCTCTTCCAAGCAGCCCCTCAAATTCAGGCCTCCTTGCTTCCTGCCTGGGCCAGGACAGCCCCTCTGCCTCAGTCTTCTCGCTCCAGGCTCTCTCCCCAGTCCTCTGTGCACTGCTGTCAGAGCTCCCTTCTGAAACTCTGCTTTTAGTATTCTGCTTCTTTGCTCAACAACCCTCAATGCTCCTGGCTGCTGCTAAGACAAACCCAGAACTCTGAAGCTACACAGCAGAGACCTTGTACACAGCCTGTATATCTGACCTCCCCCCACCTGTTGGAACCCTCTCCCTCCACCAGACTGTCCTCTTGACGAGACTGCCATGCACGGCCCCACCTTCTCATTTGGCGCACATCGTTCCCCTTCCTGTAATGACCTCCTGGCTCCTCTCCATGTCCATCCATCCCCAAGGCCAGGCTCATGTCCCCTCTCCTCTGCCAAGTCAGCCCAGGCCAGCCAAGGCCAGGGAGCTGCCTCTCCCCAGGTGCCCTGGCTCTGACTGTCGGTGCCTGCCCCTGATGCTCAGCTCTGATGGCCTCTGGGCGGCCACTCACTCTCCTCCAATCTGACTACCTTCTTCAAAGAAGACGGCACAGCCACATCCTGATTCCTTCTTCCTCACCATTGCTCAAAGCACCCTTTTCCTATAATATTTAATTATAGTTTATTTCCATTTTACTTTCGGTTCAATTCAATTCAATTCAACAAACATTTCAACGTCTGTATTGTACCAGGCTCTGCACTAAACCCTGGAGGCACAGAAGGCTTATGGTCTAGAAGCAGAAACAGGCTCCAAGGTAGACAATCAATCACTCGCGGTAGTATGTTAAGACAGACAAAACTACAGGGCTGCAGAAACACTGGTCAGGACTGGGAGCTGGGCAGGAGTGCCTCTAAGGGGTACTTAGCAGGGGTGGGGTTCTCTGCCATCCAGGATCTTCTGTCTGGCACTTTTGGGACAGCAGGAACTCAAGAGAGGTTTGTTGAATCCCGACTTAAGCAAACAGCTTCTGGCTGTCTTTCCTGAGGGAGTCACCCCCGCTAGTCCCATTCTCCATGAGGAGGCAATCAAGAGCTGACCCTGAATCACAGGCAGCCGAGAGGCGGAGGGCTCTCTCTCCAAGCTCGACGCTGCTGATCTTGACTTGTCACGTGGGCAGAGCAGGGCCAGATGGGTTAAGTGACTTGCCAAGGTCACTCTCTCTTAAAAGGCCGGGCTAAGAAATGTCTTGGGACTTGAGTCTTCGAAAAGAAAGAGGAGGAGCGGAAACAGCTCCGTGCCGCCCAGCTAGCAAGGGCAGCGCGGGCACACACCATGGGTGGTGGGTTGGAGTCCAGAGCCTGAGCCTGTAGCCAGCACGGGGCTGGGTGTTTTGGCTGCCGACGGGAATGTGTGAATGTGGGCGTGCAGGCAGGGGTGGGCGTGGGCGTGCAGGTGCTCTGGTGGGTGCCGAGGGCAGCCTGGAGCATGGTGCTGGGGTGGAGTGGGAGCGTGGGGGAGCTGCGGGGCAGGTGTGAAGTGTGCTGGGCTGGGTGAGGTGTGAGAGTGATTGGTGTGCACCAGGCTGCGGGTGAGTGCAGGGTGAGTACTGCTGTGACTGGATGAGGCTATAAGTGCAGACCTTTTCCCCAGGGACAGCTGAGTTGGGCGAGCGACAGTGAGCTCAGTCCTGGGGCTCTGCCACCCTCATCCCCTGCCTTCGGCCCGGCCAGGCCTGGCTACCCACCTGTGCTGTCATCATAGACCACGGTGGCCGATCGCCACTTGAGGTACTGGACCAGGTCGAGGATGGCGTGGCTGAGAGAGGCATAGTCTGGGTACAGGTTCACGTAGAAGGTGTCCTTGTTGTCCAGTGGGTGGTGCTTCCAGCGCAGCTGGATGTGGGGCACCTCCAGCGCATTGCAGATGGACTGGACAGCATTGGTGCAGGAGCCCTGGGATGGTCCAAAGATCGCCACCACCCCCAGCGCCAGCTGGTCACAGGCTGCACAGAAGGAGGGAGGGAAGGATGATACAGGGGTCAGTGCTGTCTTATCAGGCAGTGGGCACTGTAGGCATGGGAAGCAGTGATCCTGGTGATCCCTCTGAGGGTGGACAACTGATGAGCTCTCTGAATCTCAGTTTCCTCATCTGGAAACTGGGGTTGTAATAGCCTCTGCCTCATGGGATCACAGGAAAGTCAAATGAGATAATGAGTATAAGACACAGCATAGCACTTGTGAAATAGAAATGATAATTTTTCTGGACATTAACATTGCTGTGATTAGAATCACCAGCTCTGTATCTGGCCCTATTCTGGGTGGTGGGGGGGATGTTAAGAAACACATAGGAATGAAACACCTACCTGCTGATGCCTCTTAAACCTCCAGCCCCTCCTGTTCCCTAAAATCCAACTCATACGTCTCACCTCTCACGCACCATCGCCATCTGGATGTCTAAGACGCATCTCGGACCTGATGTGTCCAATACCTAACCCCCTCTTCTCCTCTCAGCCTCCCCCATACCAGTATATGACCGCTCCACAGTCCCAGTGCCTTATGTACCAAACCGTGGTTTTGTCTTGACTCCTCTCCTCTTATAACCCACATCCCAACACATCAGCAACTCCTGTTGCCTCACCTTCCAAGTATATCTGAATCTGATCATTTCTCTCCACTCCCATTCTCATCCAAGCCACCATCATCTTTCGCTTGCAGTATTACAGAAGCTTCCTTACTGGTTCTGGCATCCTCCATAATCTTCCCTACCATCTTGCTTTTCAGAACCTAGAGTGAATGAGCCCTTTGCTCCAAGAGCTCCCATTTTACTCAGTCTAAAAGCTAAAGTCCTTACAGTGATGAATGTGGTCCTGCTGTTGTAGCTTCTCCCCATTTCTGTTCCCATCACCACCACCATATTGCTGACTTCATCTTCTATCCTTCTTGCCTTTCCTCACAGCCCTCAAGCCCCACTGGCTTCCATGAAGTTCCTCAAACACAATAAGCTCACGCCTGCCTCAAGGCCTTTGTACTTACTGTCCCTTCTGGCTGGAATGCTCTTCCCTCAAATATCCACATGACTCCCTATCTCCGTCCCTCCAGGTCTTTGTGTCTTAGTGTCTTAACAGCAATCCCTGTCCAGCCACACTTCCAAAAACCCATACCTGCTTTGTTTCATTATTAAATGACCACCGAAGTCTTGTTCATTTGTTGACTTTCTCCTCCCACTAAAATGTAGTAAGCTTCAGGGAGACAAGACCTTGATCTATGCTGTTTCTTGCTGTATCAACAGGGATTAACACAATATCTGGTCTGAGTAGGTGTTTAATCGACATCTGCTGAGTGAATGGATGCTGAATCCCTGCCTTCAAATAGTTCACATTCCTGGGGGGGGGGCGCCGAGGGCTCAGGCAGGTCAGATATCAGATGCTTCTAGGAAGGGCAAACATCAGTGGGCACAGCAGAGCATGAAATGAGAAGACCCAGGACAGCTGGGGCACAAAGGAGGCGCTGGCTCATGCAGGGATTGTGCCTAAAAGATCCATAAGGTGGGACCTCTCAGGGCAGTCAGGGGGCGGGCTCCCCAGGGGCTGCTGTCCTTTTTCTGCCAACTGTCTCTAGTTTTCCTCTGGGCTCCACTGCCTTTCCCACTTTCAGCCCCTGAGGGGTAGGGCCGGTGACCTAGACCCAAGGCTGACTGCTCACTCACCACCCCCAGGCTACAGTCATTGGTTTAGAGGATGGTCATGTGATCAGATGGAGCCAATGGGATGGCATGAGACTTCCCACTGAGAGGGGGGCTCTTTCTGCTACAAGTGGACCTGGGAGGAGGCAAGAGCTGGAG